CCACCATGCCCAGCTAATTTTTTGTATTTTTAGTAGAGACGGGGTTTCACCATGTTGACCAGGATGGTCTCGATCTCTTGACCTTGTGATCCACCCGCCTCGGCCTCCCAAAGTGCTGGGATTACAGGCTTGAGCCACCGCGCCCGGCCTTCATGCAGTATAGTTGACAGAGTGATTTCATAATCATTATTTTGTTTATCCTCACAGCAAGCTCCTTGAGGGCAGGGGTGGGTTCTGTATTGTTTACCACTGTATCTCAATCACCTAGCACAGAATCTGGCACATCGTGTGTGTGCTCCACAAATAACTGTTGAATGAATAAACAAAGAATGAACAGAAAATTGAGTTACACAGAGCAAGGGATATGGTCTCCCCTTTTAGAGATGAGGAAATTGAGGCTCTTATTGTTCAGGTGCTTTTGAATCATGGAATGTATGACTAGCACAAATCAGGCCTTTCTTTTTCCGTGACATACCAGCCCTCCTGTCCCCCACCTCAACACAGAGCCAGGCTATATCTTCAAGACATAGAGGGGTCTATCTTTTGGAAGCAGAATGAGGGCCTGTCACAACAAATTGCCAACTTTAGTTGTGTGCCTGGCCCTCTTTCTTGAGGGAAAGAAATCAAATGGAAAACTCTAGAATGAAGGTCAGGAAGGGGCACACTGTATTTCCCTTCCTACTGCCACTGCTTAAGGTGAGACCTTGATCACTTTGCCCTGGTCTATTTTGCCTGCCTCTTTACTGGCCTCCTGCCTCCAGACTTTCCCACTCCCACCCACTATCTCCTGAAAAGCAGAGACCTGTAATCCCAGCTATTGGGAAGGCTGAGGTGGGAGAATCCCTTGAGCCCAGGAGATCCAGACCAGCTTGGGCAACATGGAGAAATGCTCTCATTAAAAGAAAAAAAAAAGAAAAAGAAGAAAAGCAGAAACCTTACAGTGTAACTCTTCTGCTTAGCAACTTCCTATTGCCTACCCTTAGGTAATGCTCAGACATTTTAATTTGGCACACAGACTGATCCTTACCTGCTTCTTGGGCCATTTCCCCATCAGGCAACCCAGGCTTCAACCACATTTGGAGAAGCACTTTTCTTCAAATATGCTCCTATCTTCTCTGCTGCCTTTGCATATGCTGTTCCCTCTGCTTAGAACGCAGTGTTCCCCTTTCCCTGCTTAACCATGAGAACTACTCACTTTTTTTTTTTTTTTTTAAGGGTGGAGTTTTGCTGTTGTCCAGGCTGGAGTACAATGGTGCAATTTCAGCTGACTGCAACCTTCACCTCCTGGGGTCAAGCAATTCTCCTGCCTTAGCCTCCTAAGGACAGGTGAGTAGCTGGGATTACAGGCATGCACGACCACACCCAGATAATTTTTTCTTTTTTAAAAATTATTATTTTGAACAGAGTCTAGCTCTATCGCCCCAGGCTGGAGTGCAGTGACGTGATCTTGGTTGACTGCAACCTCCGCCTCCTGGGTTCAAGCTATTCTCCTGCCTCAGCCTCCAGAGTAGTTGGGATTACAGGCGCCTGCCACCATGCCCAGCTAATTGTTGTATTTTTAGTAGAGACAGGGTTTCACCATATTGGCCAGGGTGGTCTCGAACTCCTGACCTCATGATCTGCCCACCTTAGCCTCCCAAAGTGCTGCGATTACAAACATGAGCCACAGCACCCGGCCTAATTTTTGTATTTTTAGTAGAGACGGGGTTTTGCTATGTTGGTCAGGCTGGTCTCTAACTCCTGACCTCAGGTGATCCACCTGGCTTGGCCTCCCAAAGTGTTGAGATTACAGGTGTGTTGAGATTGAAAGTGAGTAGTTCTTGCAGTTGGGTGCGGTGGCTCACGCCTGTAATCTCAGGATGTCTTTCCAGATGGTCAGGGTATCTGTCCTCTCCACTACTACAGGAAAAAATGAACACTAATTTTCCTTAGCATTTCACACCCTAATTTGCTCACCGTGTGTCCATCTTTCCTTGTTGTCTATGGGACAGTAGCTTCCTTATCTTTGTAACCATCCCAGTGTTTAGCACAGTGCCTGCCTCAATAGAGGCATCAAAAACATTTGTTGAGGAGTATGTCTCACATACACCATTGTGAGGTCATCTGCATACCTTATGGCCAAGAAGGGCTCAGCAAACGTGGGCTGAATAAATGAGAACTGCTCACTGTCCATGTTTTCTCTTCCAGCCTGAACCCTCCATCCTATACCCATAGGAGGCAGTGACCCTACAAGCAGCTGTTTCTACTCTAGCACATGACCCTGATCATACACCTTTGCTAGCCTAGGACTACTGATCCTCCCAGATCCAGCCTCTGTTGCCCTTTCCTACTCCTTTTTTAAAATCCTTACTGCTCTAAGATCCACATTCTGCTTACCTTCCCCCAAACACACCAGAATGTTCCAAATGTATGTGCTACTGCATGTGCACTATTACATTTGCCTGCTTCTCTAACTGAAACACCCTTTTCCCCTCTTGTCCACCTAGGAAGTGGCTAATTCAGACTATCCCCTCCTCCAAGAAGCCCAGAGAACATTAACCATTCTCTCCCCTGTGCTCTGCTGTACCTTGTAACTGTTGGACTCATCCCAGTGTAGTGTTACTTGCTTGTTCCAGTGTCTTGGTATCCTCTCCGTCTACCATAGTACCCAGCAAGAGGGTCTCAGTGACTGTATGCTAAGAGAATCAAGACATCAATATTCTGCCAGGACAGTAGTGTCACCTTTCAGAGATGGAGATGGAGTGTTCCCCTTCACCGAGGCTGGAGTGCAGTGGCATGATCTTGGCTCACTGCAACTTCCGATTCCGGGGTTCAAGCAATTCTTCTGCCTCAGCCTCTTGAGTAGCTGGGACTACAGGCAGATGCCACCATGCCCAGCTAATTTTTATATTTAGTAGAGACAGCGTTTTACCATATTGGCCAGGCTGGCCTCAAACTCCTGACCTTGTGATCCGCCCGCCTCTGCCTCCCAAAGTGTTGGGATTACAGGTGTGAGCCACTGTGCCCAGCCTATTTTTATTTTCTTTGAGACAGAGTCTTGCTCTGTCACCCAGGCTGGATTGCAACCTCTGCCTCTCAGGTTCAAGCGATTCTTTTGCCTCAGCCTTCCAAGTAGCTAGGACTACAGACCACGCCCAGCTAATTTTTGTATTTTTAGTAGAGACGGGGTTTTGCCATCTTGGCCAGGCTAGTCTCCAACTCCTGGCCTCAAGTGATCCACCCACCTTGGCCTCCCAAAGTGCTGGGATTACAGGTGTGAGCCACCGTGCCCAGCCTTTCAGAGATTTTATGTTCAGCTCTACCACTTCCTAGCTGTGTTACTATGGGCAAAACACTGTACAACTCTCTGAGCTCCCGTTCTTCATTCATTGGAGCGACAGCACTTTCCTCCTAGGGTTGTCATAAAAGTTAGATTAAGGCAAGGCCTGAAATATACACAGAGCAGCATCTGGTACACAGTGAACATTCAATTCACAGCAGCTATCACTGCTACCATGGCTTCTGGTCCTTCCTCATCTCCTCTCCACTGAAGAAGGTAGTACCCACAGATGCTTCAGAAGCCACATGTGGGGCTTCCTAAACCAGAATCCCACATCTCTACAATATGCTTCACACACACGAAGGAAAGAACCACAGGACACAGGCTTGTTGGGAGTATAAAAATAGGACTTTTTCCTCATCACATCAATTATCAAAGAAACAGTACGTAACAAAAATACAAAGCTCTGGTGGATTTTTTTGTCTTTTTTTTTTTTTTGCCCCCCCTCCCACTTCTACCCAGCAGCCCCTTGCCAGGGAGCCCCTGGCTGAAGCCTGGACGCTGTCCCTGAGGCTACACCAGGGCTCAGGAGAAACGGTGGTCCAGGTCTCTCTGGGGGCTAGCAGAGTATGAGTAAGCCTTGCCCAATACCAGGCGGTCCCGGAGCAGCTTGAAGAAGGCATAGTAGTTGCTGAAGAGGATGAGGGCTAGTGAGATGGTCTGGTGCCATTTTTCAGAGGACATTAGGGAGTACAGCTGGTAGACAATGACAGCGCCTTCAAGCAGCAGGAGGATGTTGAGGATCCGCAGGGGTTTGCTGAAAAAGAACTGCCCGGGAGAGGGTGGGCATGGCTAAAGGGCATGCTCCAGAAACCTTCCTCCTGGGGGGGGCTTCTGGGTGAGCCAGTGAAGGAGACAGGCCCTTGGGTCCCCATGCAGACATGGGTGGGGAGGAAGACTTTCTGGGGTTGGATGTGGACTTTGCCACCTCATCTGCCTTTGCTTGTGGTATTCCTCCTGGTGGGACTGCTGCTTCCGATGTTAAGTCATCTAAGACCCTGTTCAACTTCAACCTCCTCTAGGAAGTCTTTCTTGACAAGTTCTGCATGGTCTCTCTAACTGTTTCTTTGAAAATTTTTTCTCTCTCATCCACTGATCCTCAATAAAATCAACACCTTGTTTTTTTTTTTTTTTTTTTTTTAGGTGGAGGTTCGCTCTTTTTACCCAGGCTGGGGCGCAATGGCACAATCTTTGCTCAACACAACATCTGTTTCCTGGGTTCGAGCGATTCTCCTGGCTCAGCCTCCCGAGTAGCTGTGATTACAGGCATGCGCCACCACACCCGGCTAATTTTGTATTTTTAGTAGAGATGGGGTTTCTCCATGTTGGTCAGGCTGGTCTCGAATTCCTGACCTCAGGTGATCTGCCCACCTTGGCCTCCCAAAGTGCTGGGATTACAGGCATGAGCCACTGCGCCTGGCCAAAATCAACAGCTTTTAATATCATCCTCCTGGGTATTGTTTGGCCTCAACAAATTAGAATTTTATGACATAAGCATGGAAAGTTATTACAGACTCCACAGCCTGAATTATCTACTATGAAGTCATAGGCAGCATCCCTAGCTAGGCTGGAAGCTGCCAGGGGACATGGCAACAGCTCAACTCTCAACAGCAAGACAGAGTGTAGGGACTAAAGAAAAAATTTCTATCAGTTCAAAAGAGTGCACAGTGTCTACAGATTCTGATTCCACAGGGGCCAAGGTACCTAAATCTCAAGAGCTGCTTAAAGGACAGGAGAAGTAGAAGGAAACAGGAGATGGAGAGACCAGGATGCCAGGCTCGGATCTGTACCTAACAGGTTGCAATACTTTGGGCAAGCTGCTTTCCTCTCAGCCTTGGGTTTCTCAACTATGAAATGAAGATATCAGCCTAGGTCACTGATTTCTCATACTGTGTTCCTTAGAGCCCCAGGTTTCCAGGGGGTTCTTTAAGAGTTACAGTAGGGGTGAGCGGGAAGTGAAGGGGGTTCTAACTCCTCCAAAGAGAGCAGTGCCAGGAGGTCCCATATATTGGATTTTGGCCTCTGATTGTATGTTTTTTTTTAAAAAGTGTGAGGGGGAAGATTTGATAGTGAAATAAAAAGAAAATAGAGACCACTAGTTTAGATGATTTTGAGCAGCCCTTTCCATAGCTGAGTCATGAGTCATTACCATTAGTTCTCAAGTTTCCCAGTAAGGCACTCCTTCACGAGCTAACTCTCTAAGCTGATTTCGGTATCTAAAAACAGAGATAGCCCTACTGTATCTTTCACATACAAGGTTCAGGGGAAGGCTGACTAGGAGGGTGGATGGGCGGTGCTTAACCACATGCCTGGCACACAGTAAGAAATGAAGACAGTATTGTCTTTCATTGCCAGGAGCCCCTTCTTTTATTGCATCAGCTTCTCTCCCTCTGTCCAATGTTCTGAAAGGTCTGCGACCAAATAAGCTGCAGTTATTTACTTATTTTTGAGATTGAGTCTTGCTCTGTTGCCCAGGCTGGAGTCTCAGCTCACTGCAAGTGGCGTAATCTCAGCTTACTGCAACCTCCATCTCCCCAGTTCAAGCGATTCTCCCTCCTCAGCCTGCCGAGTAGCTGGGACTACAGGCATGCACCACCGCGCCTGGCTAATTTTTGTATTTTTAGTGGAGACAGGGTTTCACCATGTTGACCAGGCTGGTCTTGTCTTGAACTCCTGACCTTAGGTGATATGCCTGCCTTGGCCTCCCAAAGTGCTGGGATTACAGGCGTGAGCCACCATGCCCGGCCTAGCTGCAGTTATTAAGTGACAATTTGTATGGCTGTCCTTGTGCTACCTGTGTGCACTGTTTTCCTTTGGATTGGGGAAATACCGAAAATAGCTTTCTCTTGCTATGACATCACATTCCTGCCCTGCAGATATTCCCACCCTCTCCCTCAGGGCCCAACCCTCCTTCCCGGGGAGGAGACTCACGTGGAACCGGAAGTGGGAGACATCAGAGGGGACAGCCACGTTGTAGTGGCCTACGGCTTTGTAGACATTCTTGCTGTGCTTCACCAGCACGCCCTGCGGCCACATGCATTCTTCAGTCCACCTGGAGGCACAGCCCAACAGTGCCCCTTATCCCCAGCTCACCCAAAAAAGGGGTACCAGAAGACTGGGCAGGAGGGAATCACCTGGGCTGTACTCCCATTTCTATCACTTAGACACACTGACTTTCCTTTGCTGGGTTTTAGTTGCCTCCTCTGTAAAATGCGGTAAGAATTATGAGGAATTCACTGCATTGGGAGTTAGAAAGTCTAAAGCTGACACTAATTACTAAGAGACTGTTGAGAAAACCCTTTTTCTTCTCTGGGTTCCTTTGCTTCATCTGGTCTCACTGCTTGGCTCCAACTGGTCCACCACACAGTTGCCTGAGTGGTCTTTGTAAAATACTAAGCTGAGCCTGACCACCCTCTGCTTAAAAGCCTTTGTGGTTTGTTGTTGTTTTTGAGAAGGAGTTTCATTCTCCTTGCTTAGGCTGGAATGCAGTGGTGCAATCTCAGCTCACTGCAACCTCCATCTCCCAGGTTCAAGCAATTCTCCTGCCTAAGCCTCCTGAGAGTATGTGGGATTACAGGCACCTGGACCACCCCCGCCTAATTGTTGTATTTTTAGTAGAGATGGGGTTTCACCATGTTGGATGGGCTGGTCTTGAACTCCAGACCTCAGGTGATCTGCCTGCCTCGGTCACCCAAAGTGCTGGGATTACAGGTGTGAGCCACGACATCTGGCCCTGCTTAAAACCCTTTGGAGGCTTCCCAGTGCCCTTGGGGTCAAGGCCCCAAGGATTCACCATGGCCTCTGAGGTCTTCTGTGGCTTCCCACAACTCTAATCACACAGCTCATGCTGTTTCCAGTTCCTCCAGTGGTGGCTCATGCCTGTAATCCCAGCACTTTGGGAGACTGAGGTGGGCAGATCATGAGGTCAGGAGATCGAGACCATCCTAGTTAACATGGTGAAACCCTGTCTCCACTAAAAATACAAAAAATTAAGGGCCGGGCGCGGTGGCTCAAGCCTGTAATCCCAGCACTTTGGGAGGCCGAGGCGGGTGGATCACAAGGTCAAGAGATCGAGACCATCCTGGTCAACATGGTGAAACCCCGTCTCTACTAAAAATACAAAAAATTAGCTGGGCATGGTGGTGTGTGTCTGTAATCCCAGCTACTCAGGAGGCTGAGGCAGGAGAATTGCCTGAACCCAGGAGGTGGAGGTTGCGGTGAGCCGAGATCACGCCATTGCACTCCAACCTGGGTAACATGAGTGAAACTCTGTCTCAAAAAAAAAAAAAAAAAAAAAAACAATACAAAAAATTAGCCAGGCGTGGTGGTACGTTCCTGTAGTCCCAGCTACTCGGGAGGCTGAGGCAGGAGAATCACTTCAACCCGGAAGATGGAGGTTATAGTGAACCAAGATCATGCCACTGCACTCCAGCCTGGGCAACAGAGCGAGACTCTGTCTAAAAAAATACAACACTTAAAGCTCCTCCACAAAGCCTTTCTCAAACTCCCTAGAGTTTGGCATCCTTTTTTTTTTTTTTTTTGAGACAGAGTCTCACTCTGTCGCCCAGGCTGGAATGCAGTGGCACTCAGCTCACTGCACCTCCTGGGTTCAAGTGATTCTCCTAGTTCAGTCTTCTGAGTGGCTAGGCCTACAGGCACTTGCCACCACGCCTGGCTAATATTTTTTGTAGTTTTAGTAAAGATGGGGTTTCGACATGTTGCCTAGGTTGGTCTTGAACTCCTGACCTCAGTTGATCCACCTGCCTCGGCCTCCCGAAGTGCTAGGATTACAGACGTGAGCCACTGAGCCCAGACTGTTTGGTATCCTTTAACTGTTTCCTGAATCTCCTGCTACTGGTCCACATTCCCCAATGCTGGTCATTTATTTATTTCCCTTACTAGGCTGACAGCCTTTGAGCGTGAGGGTCTAATCCATCCCTGTGTCCTCAGATGCTGCAAGGCCTGGCATGGAGAGGCCCCAGTGAGCATGTGAATGACATGGTGGGACCAGCGAGCTTTCTTCCAATATCACGTGAGATCTCCCAGGAATCCCAAGGTCACAGACCAGAGGACTGAAAGTCACAGCCTATAAGCAGCCCCCTTCTCAACCCCATGCTCTTGCCTTGTTGACTCACTTATTTAAAAAAAAATGGTTGACTGGGCACAGTGGCTCACGTCTGTAATCACAGCACTTTGGGAGGCTGAGGTGGGCAGATCACCTGAGGTCAGGAGCTCGAGACGAACCTGGCCAATATAGCAAAACCCTGACTCTACTAAAAATACAAAAAAAAAAAAAAAAAAAAAAAATTAGCTGGGTGTGGTGGCAGACGCCTGTAATCCCAATTACTTGGTAGGCTGAGGCAGGAGAATGGTTTGAACCCAGG